ATATCACTGACGATGGCAATAATAAAAGTAATAAGTAATAAGCAAAATTATTTTATAAACTATAAATTAATTTATTTATTCTTTTTTTTTTTTTTTGATTATATGAATTGAAAAAGTCACTTTAAAACATTGTACTGTTTTATTCAATGAAATTTATATGATTTCAGCAGAAAAAAAAAAGATTAAAATTTTTATGAATTAAAAATGAAACATGCAAATTCACGTAGAAAATTTTGAAAATAATGGCAAATCATTACAATTTATACCTTTGAAGTTTTTTTTTTTTTTTTTTTGTTCAAAACAAGTTTTCCGAAATTTGTTTCCACTTTTTTTTTTCCTTGAGAATAATAATTTATAGTGACAGGTTAAACTTTTAACTACTGGGCAAACAACATCCATCACATACTGCTCTCTTTGAAAATTTTAAAATGTTATCTTCAAATGATTCAATCTGTTGCTTTGAATTTTTCAAATTCATCGTAGATATTACATTCTTACTTCAAATTATTGATCCATCAATTGATGGAGAGAAAGTAATGCTTTGATTATAAATGGAATTGTATATGTATTTACGACATATTTTTTATATTTCTATTTTTGAAGCTAAGCTATTCAAAAAAAAAAAAAAAAAAGAATTGTATATTCAAAATAAAATAAACGAAACGTACAAGTACAAATGATATGGCAAATAATGACACTATACAAAATGAAATGAATAAATAAATGAGGTGAACAAGTGAAGTAACTGTAAATGAAAGAATTCGATTTGGAATGGAATTTGCAAACAGATTTATCATTCATTGTTAACAAATATACCAAAAAATTTGTTGGAAAATTTCACACAGTAAACATTTGTTTCATGAAAATTTTCAAAATACCAATGAAAATTATAAATTTTTGCCATGTATCTTAATTGAAAATGAAAATTTCTTCATCATTCTTTTGTTTATCACTCGCAAATTATTAGTTGCAAAATGAATTTGATTTGTACTTTAATTACACTATTTTTTCATTTTCGATCTTGTGTTAACAAGGAAAACAAAGAAAAGTAAAACCAAAAGTAAAAAATATAAGTATCATTTACTAATTCTACTGAAAAGTATTTTGAAAGCAATTTTAATCATCATTTATGGAAATTAGAAATTTTTGTCTTTTAAATGCTTTTTTATTGTAGAGTACAATGTTTGTGCCAACACAAAATTTTAAAATGATAATGATAAAACAAATTTTTGAATATTTCAATCAAAATAAATTTCGCAAATTATTTAATTTGACTGTGAAATCAAAGAATTTCCAAAAAAAAAAAATTCCAAAACGAAAATTTTGCCTATCCAAAAGTCTGACAATAATTTTAAAGGTCATTGCTAGTTTCAATGAATTTTTCATGACTGAAAAATACACAACGACCATTAATAAAACGAACATTTCATCTACGAATCATAGTTAGAATCATTTTTTTCTGCTTGAGTACAGTCATCAAGTTCCTCTACTGGTGTTGATTTTCCCCCCGAGTGTCCATTTTTGTCATCAAATTCCTCTGCTTGTGCTGATTTCTCCTCCGAATGTCCATTATGTGAATGAGCAGATCTGAATTGATCAAATTTGAAATTTTTCAAAAATTTTTTTTAATTCAAGATTTCAAAACATTGATTCTGTACGAATAATATGATGCTATATTGAAGGAAGAAAAGAAAAAATGCTAAGAACTATCTTCATTATTATTATTATTAATTATTATTAATATTAATATTATTATATATCTGACTTAAAAACACAGAATATTAAAAGGGTAAGTATAATGAGCAGAAAGAACTTGGTAGAGAGAAAAATGTTAATAATACTTAAAATTTGCTCATTATTTTAATGTCCCAGAGATGACTTATGACTTCAACTACACTTACCCGCTTGGATCCTCAGTTCGTAGAAATATACGAGAAGTTATTGCGGTACGCTTTCTAGGTAATGTTCGAATCGATGGCAGTTGTTCCTTGCTTACAAGTATTGCGCTGATTTTCTCAATACCTTTCTGTATATCATCAAGTTGTGATGCTGTAAAAAGCACTAAGTACCTTTAAGTAGCCATGATGAAAAAGAATGAAATATATAAATTTCTGATAAATAAATAAATAAATATATATATATAGAAGCCTACAAAATGAAAAACAAAAATTTTTTAACTTGAAATGAGAATTCAAAATAATCAAAAAAAGTTTCGAAAATGAAACGCATTAAAGCTAAAGTAACTCATATCCAGAAGTAATAAATTGCCTAAACTTCTAATTATTATCAAAAAGTCTAAGTTTTAGAAAAATTTTTGAAGAATAAGGAAAAAAAAAAGCTTACAATTACCACTGCTTTGAAATAAAATACGATCCGTAATATTTTGTTTATCAATAAGTGTCTGCAATTTTAGAAGCAATTCGGTGGTTACATCTTGCATCATTCCTTGCAATTCATTCATCTGCAAGAATCAAAATACTTCAAGAACGGAACCAATATGAAAAAATAAATAAATTTAAAATATTGTTTACCATTAAATAAAACATATATTTATTTATTCAAAAATACTTATGTTTTAAAAAGGATTCATTAAATTACTGCTGATTAAATGAAAACATTCATGAACCACTATTGTTAATGAAAAAAAAAAAAAAAAACTTCGTTTACCAATTAAGTTTTTTTTTTCAACCAAATTTTCCAAAATTTTTTGAAAATGTTAATAATGTTAACTATCAAAGTGTTCCTCAAACGATGTCCGTCCTTCCTTTAATGATTTTACCTTAACAAAACTGTCAAACGTCCAAGAATATTATTGTCTATGTACTTTCTAGCTAAGATTCAATAATGCTTTTCGATGAAGTTTTTATCAAAATTCCTGATTCTGGAATTTTCCTAGAAGATTTTTTTTTTTAATTAAAAACAAAAAGATAAACTTGGAAACAAACTTTTTCTTCGATCACATAAATCCTTTTATCAGTCGGTTCCGGAATATTAAAAAAACGTGGTAAAATGTATGAACGTAACAAATGCCAACCAGCATATGAAAAACCCGTGATAATCATTGCATATTTTGTTAAGCATAGCAAAGTATTAACTCCTGATGATTTAGTTGATAAATCATACGAAAGACCAGATGTAACCGTATGTCCCATTACTGTATTATTCATATTCTATAAGTAATGATGAAGTAATAATATGAATAAAATTGGCGCACAAATATTTTAGTTAAATAGAAAATTAAGCAATTAAAATTTGATTTGGATGATAAATAATGTGAAGAGTAAATAACCAACTATATCATCAGTAATAGTAGCAGTACTATCAATATCAATATTATGCTACTAATAGATCGATCTATTTTATGTCAATCATAATGGCGCCATATTATTGACCAAAAGAAATACTTCACGAATAAGAAAAAAAAAAAAAAAACTATAATTTTTCAAATAATGATATCACTGACAATAATTATTACTTCCTCACTAATAAAATTCCTCATGTCTAATATTATAATGTGTATATAAAAGAGTGGTAAAAACTAAAATTTATTACTGCTACACTTTTATCATCAAATGTTGTCAAACATAAAATATGAAATTGAAGCAATTAAACAGTAAAAGTTAGCTTTCGAAATTACCCACCCAAATATCTTGCTGTAATGGTAATCCTTTCATTGCTTCATTAATTTCATCTTCTCGCACACCCTTTTGAAGTAGGAATTGTTTTTGTTGCAATAAAGGTGTTTCCCGAATTTTTGGTATCATCATGAAACGTCGTGCTATATCCACCATTTCAGGTCGAATCATTTCAACTGGTTTTGCCTCATATCCTATCACAGTTACGTCTTTTTCATCAGAAATTTTGCCTTTCTGATCATCGATCATTAGTATATACCAACCAAGAAGCTCTGATGAATTATTAATACAAGATGAATTAATATAAATGATAATAATAAAGTAGGAAGGCTTATGCAGTACCATCTTCAGAAGATATAAACAAACTTCTTTTTGCATTCATCAGCAAACAATATCATAAAATTCCGTGAAACTTATACAATGAATAATGATGATATCATCGATTAACGATAATAAAAAAATTGTTATCTGTGATAACCTGTGATATTAACACAATTGATGAAAAATATTTGAAATACGAAATTGATTAAAAATGACTGAGTTTAATCTGCAACTGTAAGAACGAAAAATTAGTAAATCTTTTATTGCCATAAAAAATATGAAATTTCTTTTCAACGTTGACACAATTTCTTCTTTACAAACATATTCATGCATAGAGGAAAAAAGGCAAAAGCATCATAATTACAGCAGCTATAATTACCTTTCTCTCTATCACGAAAAGTATACTATTTACAAAAGAGAACTAAATTTAATCCTTTAATTATCCAATATATGAATATATGGTTTTGAACTTTTCAATTAATACATTTTAGAAAGCAAAATACAAACAGGTTCGTAATATTACATTTGAGCCCAATAGATAAGCTTCATTTTGAAAAAATGAAAAGTGAAAAAATAAAAAAGCTATGTCTAAAAGGTAAAAGATAAGAAAAATTCTTGATATTGTTCTAAAAAGAATTTCCAGAAATAAAATTAACGGATCGATCAGAGCATCTTATTTTTTTCTATAAACAATTTTTTTTCTCCAACAGAATTGAAAACAATTGCTGATAATGACCAAATAAGCTGTCAATACGTAGCGAGATTCAATTCAATAAAAAGGTTCAATTTTCATCCAAAAGAAAAACAAAGGTGTAAGATCATATATGCAAATAAAAGTTGCAGTATGAATTATGAGAGTTTTGGCTCAAAAAAAGATCTCAAATATCACTTTAAAATTGTCACCCAGTTTTATTTTTGGAGGACAGTAAAGCATAAATTAGTAAATCATAATATTCATAATGTTTATAAAATATAGCGGAAAATTTTTTATTTAGTCCTATAATTGCTATATACAATAAATAAAGACAACAACAGCAACCTAATTTATTCAAATGAACAACCAAATTCAATACTCAAATGCTGTTGATGAATATTAGTTAAGCGCATTCGAACATCATGCGATATCACAAGGAAATCCAATGTTGTGAAATATTCATATCGAGCTAAGACACATTCTAAACGCGCGTGTATATATCTGAAATGGAATAACTGTTTATCAAACCAGGAATTTACTTAAATAACTGCTACTAATATTCTTAAATTCCATTAAAAAGTTTTTCTTCCCACTCAAAAATTTACTATTTTTGTAAAAAAATGCACAAAGAACTGCCATATCATTATAGTATTTTTTAAAATGTTAGTGTAGAAAACAAAAGAATTAGATCGGAAGTTTTTAGATGAGATTTTAGATTCCAGTGTCAAGAAACACGCTGAGAAGTCTAATATGTCTCTTTAAAAAAAAAAAAACAAAATCTTAAAGTGAATACTTAAGTAACTTTTTCAATTACAATTAGCCACTTCGTTCATAAAAAATGAATCAAAGTGAAGTTCCAACCTTGATCTAGAACCTAAAAGTTAACAATGTATTTTCTAAACAATTGGATACTGAGCATATGAAAAAACACAAATTGGGAAGAAAGTAACTATCCGTATTACAATACTGCTCCCACTTAAACTTAGAATAAGATCAAGAATTTTTTTTTTTTTAAATAAATTTAAAAATAATATTCGTTGATGCCCAACTGTTATATATATCGAAAAAACCATTTCACAAGGGAAACCATAATAATTTCTACCTTATATTCCTAATTTCTTTTTACTCCAAATAATATATATTTCGATATTCATTTTTTTTTAAAAGTTACTCATTCATTAATCAATAAGTATAATAAGGAAAGATATCAGAATAAATAAAGTATATTAAGGAAGGATGTCAGCTCAATGATAATGGAATAATACTTCTTTTGCATTTGTTGAGTAGAGTAGGTACAAGTTCGTTGGTTCCAGAAGCGTTCTACATGTTCCAAAACCAAATCTTCGGGAGGTTGCGGTTGCCGCGAAAAATCAACACCACACGACGCACATTGCACAATGCCTACATGCTGGTCTAATAGAAAGACCACACTGAACGGTTCGTCATTATGATAGGGTCTTGTGAAGCGCCGTAAACTCGGAAGTGCCATACGACTCATCTAAAAAAATCTCTGGCAATACTTTTTAAAAGGAAATTCTACAAAGCAGACCAATACAATTCAAGTTTGAAACAAATTTCCCAAAGAAATTAGATTTAAACAGGCATACCAATTCTTCATGTGTTAACGGATAAGCATCTTCAACTTCTTCATAATTACCATCTTCATATAAGGTGACACTTGATGGACCAGCAACGTAGGAACCTAGTCGAGCATGCTTCATGGCTACAAAGGCATCTTCTGGTTCTAACGAACTTCTCTCGCTTCTAAAATATACTTAATTTGAAAAAATTTTATCTGAAAAAAAAATACCCATTTCCTAATAATTAATGTACCGAGAAGAACCTAATAAAATTGTTTACAAAGTAATCGAATCCATCGCTTCAATCCGACAATTAATTGTTAGACGTTATTCACGTTATAAATATAGAAATTATAATTTATCTCACAATCTTTCAAAGAAATCCTATTATACAAGTAGTTGAGAAAAATAAATACTGAAAATTTAGTGAAATGTGAAATACGATTTATTTCATCTTTCATCACATAAACTCACAATCGCTTTATCTTTTCACGTTTTCTTTCAGCAATCAAGCTTGGTTCTTTGCGTTGGTAGACGACAGTATTGCGTTTTGAATTACCGTGAGGTATGGCCTCAACCACAGTGTTTATACCAATATCATATGAAATTAACGCGTACCTGAATTATTTTAAATTCAAAGCAAAAAAAAAGAAAAAAATTATATGCCAATGATTTCAATTTCTCCAGACTTCAACTTCATTTCAGCTTTCCCTTCCCTTTCGCTCCTCTTCTCAATTCTAACAAAGAAATTTCAAAAGAAGGAATATAAATAGTAAAAACTATTGTAGTTCAATACGTTTTGTAATTTGAAACTTGATTTTACATGTGGAATTTAGTTTTTCAGCAAACGGAAGTTAAAGTTCGATAAATACAATTCTTTAGCTGTACCGAAGTGCAATTAACTAATATCAAAATAAGATTAGATATTACGCATAAACCTGGCATATCCTTCGGGAGTGCAAGCTTGCCATATTATTTTTCGAACCATTCCATCAGGTATACTGTTTGGATGAACATAAGTTTTCCGTACAACTGTAAAATAATGAGCCCCTTCAAGACAACGTTGCCTATCACGAGAAAAATAAAATTTGCGAAGGGTCATACGTCGACCATGTGTCGTATTCCATTGTCCTAAAATATTTGGAAGCTTCAGAAAAATCTCGATATTTAAGCATTTTAAAGTATCTATGTCCAGTTACAAATGATACAAAAAAAGACTCAAGAAATCTCGAGAAATGATCAACATACCTAGATTATCAACACTGAGATCACTTATTGCTACTTTTTCCGTATCAATTAGAAATGTCATCTGTAGTGGATAAACAGTTGGTTCACGTAATACTGCTATATGTGGAACCGCATCGCATACCGGAAGATCAATTCTGGAAATAAAAGCAAGTGGACAAGGAATTATACCTATTAATTATCAAAAATGTGCAATCCATTAATTCTAGTTCCCTGCCATTTGTTTCTTTTAATGAGGAAAAGTAATGCTTTGAGTAAAGAGACATAATTATTCAAACGCGGCAGTAACTAAGTAATTTTTTGAAGTAACTGAAAAGTATACGAACAGTAGTTCATCAAACGTAAATGAGACTATCAACAAAAAAAAGAAACAACTTACTGATCTTGTTCGAGCAGGGTATCCAGTGGTAAATCATTAACATTATTGATAAACTGCTTTAGGAATACTGGACTTTTTGTCACGCGAGCAATTTCATGATTTATTTCGCTTAACAAAAATATGAGATTGTTTGGAAACCTTAAGCAAAATTTAAACTTCAAAAACTTGATTTTTCTTCAAAGTAAACAACATCTCAGATGTTATTTATAACTTTTAATACAATTTTTGTTAAAGCATATTTAATGACTCAATGCGGATTAATTTATTATGGAAGCAAATTATCTTACTTTTGGTCATAAATTGTTTCATCAGCAAGAATAGACGTTCGTTGCATTCGCTGTTCCGATGCTACCTGCTGTTGTATTCTTTTAATCGTAACAACCGCATCACGTTCGATTTTGTATGTCACAAGCATATATCTGTAAAGACATTTCGTTTCTAAGTAAAAATGGACAGCAAATTAACTTCATGTGAAGATTGCAAGCGAAAAAGATTATTGTACTACAGATTGCCATAGTTAAATTATAGTGGTTCAAATAACTTAAATGTAGCAAAATAGTAAATGGCAGTACAAAGTATCAATAAAAAAAAAAAAATTTTTCTTTAATTTGACAAACACACTCATGTTTTTTTATTTTTAATATACTTAAATACAAAACGGAAAAACAGATAACCAAGTAAAGAGATTAAAAGGATAATGAAATGATTCCAATAAGAAAAAATAAACGAACCGAAAAAGAAAGTACAATCTCCACTTACCTGTTATAGCTGCCATCAACTTCCTTGATAAGCCAAACAACTTTCCGCACAGCACTGGGTGGTACCGAGTACGGATGCACATATTTCTTCTTAATGACGCAATAGGCATATCCTTTAGTACCACATCTACTATCGTTTGTGTCATAACAATATTTACTTAAAGTGACGCGGTTGCCACGTGACGTGTTCCATGCACCTAAAATTAATAGGACAATGTTTGCTTTGTGCCTTTTTCAACAAAATAACATTTCTATTCAGTTCACCCACTTTTTTACTGGTTATTCGAACAATTTCTGATTGTTCTTTGCTACTATTTATTCAACTATCGCCATTAATAATATTATTGTCCAAGTTTCGCATCATCATGAATGAATGTGTCACTATAAATGATAAATTCAATAACAAAGACGAACCCAATCCATCCCAATTCCACTCCACATATGGAATCTGCGAAGTATCGACAATGAACGACATTTGTACGGCTTGACTAATTAGTCGAATTTGAGGTACTGCAGTGTTTACTGGTGCAACATCATTTGTTCTGCAATAACATAAATCCTACATTAAGTTATACTTCAATTTCCTTTTACATTTGTTTGTTCCTGACTTCTAATCAGCTTGCAAAAATCAAGCACATCTAACGGACATCAACAATAGCACTTAACTGTCCTATGTTTAAAACGTCTTAAAAAGGAAAGAAAACTAACATTTCTGGTCGTCGAAGTAAAGAAAGCGGTAATTCTGTTATGGCATTGATATATGCACAATTAAATGGTGTACTTGTTGTAACCAAACTTATTCTGTGAATCATTTCACTAAAACCAATTATTTTAAAATAAATATAGATATGAATTCAGAGGAATTAGATTTTTGTCTCAGGGATACTTCTCACTGCTTTCAATTGTGTCCAATATTAATATATTTTCCCGATTTTCCAAATTATAATGCTACTGTATAAAAATCCAACTCAATCGATAATTTTGAGTAAAAAATGATGAAAAATAATGCGAAATATTCTAAAATAATCCATCAATTAAAAAGAATTAAACTAATGATTAAAATCAGGATATACCTGTCGGATATGAGAACGTCCTGAACAGTAGGACTGCAGACTTCCTGAGGACTGTTACCGTCGACGTCTACTTCGGAGCTCTCCGAAACATCATCAGCTTCGACATCCACCTCAAACATATATTTTGCATTTCAAAAACGAATTTCAGCATTCTTTTTTAGCAAAATCATTTTAATAGTTATTATCCTCTTCATTTTCCAGAACGTAACAGTTAGAAATTTAAAACAGCTTACGTTGCCTTATGCATTTCAGCACTTACCTCGTTACCCACTTCAAAATCCGGTTCCTGCAACATAATACTCTCCGAGGTATTTGCCGTATCTGCAAGGATCGCATCTTCCTGTTTAATGTTGCACGGACGCTTCTTTACTTCACTTGGACACGTTCGAATATAGCTTTTCTGGTTGGTACGCGAATTACCATGAGGTATTTGCATAACATGAGCATCTGCTTCGATATAGTACGAAACCAATGAGTAACTAAAAGTATGAATTAAAATAATTGTATTTTGAACTAAAAATTTCGATAAAGCATCGGAATGCAAGTTATATTTCAACTATCAATTTCATATTGTTGATCATTTTTAAATTCCATATTAATTTAAATACAATTTAATTAACAAGCAATACTTACCGGCAATATTCATCACCTTTTTTGATCAACCAAATCACTTTCCGTATTGAATTATTTGGAATACAATGAGGATGCAGATAACGTCGTCGAACCACGCAATATTCCTGCTCAATTCCGTCTGGTTTATTTTTTGTTCGGTAGTAGAACTTACGAACACTCATACGACGTCCATCTTTAGCGTTCCATTGACCTGATTAAAAGATATTCAAATTCCACATATTATTATCCAACATATTATTACTATATTATAATGCAAAAATTTTGTAGAATTGTATCGAACACAAAATTAGCAATTTTCATCTTTAAACTTCCAATGAATTCTTATTTCATTCATTCATACATCTCAAAGTAATTAAATTACCGAGATTATCCGAACTGATATCTGACACAGGGAAACATTTCGTATCGATTAAAAAACTAAGACAAGCTGCGGCTCCATAAAGATTGATTTTAGGAACATATGTACATACGGGTATCGATGCATCCAATCTAAAACGACACTTGCATACGTTTAGGGTACAAATCAGGACAGATTATATGTCGATTAAGTGAAATTCCAATTTGACGTTACTAGAAACAAGAAAAAATTAATAAAATGGAAATCAATGTTATTCTAAAAAAAAAATAGAAAAAGAAGAGATTAGCACTTACTCATCTTCTTGTATCAGCAATTCCAATGGTGCATCCGCCAATGTTCCGACAAATTTCTGCATGAATACTGGTGCATCCGTGATCATGCAGAGTCCTCTGAAAATGAACAAACCTTGGTTAGTAATAAATATCCATTTTCATAAAATACATACTAAATACAAATATACAATATATGCTCAAAACAATTATTATTATATCACACTGATTCTCATATAAAGAGGAAAAATAAGGAAAGCAGAAGAGATTTATCCGTGAGCAACACGAAAGAGAAATTTAAAAGAAGGCCGATAATAATTCATGTAATCCAAACAGGAAATACGAACTCTGTATCTAGTTCCGGAATTTCTTCCATTTGTCGCTTTAGACTTTCCGTTCCCCCAGCAAAGTAAAACTCAATATCATCGCCATCTTCTTCACCTTCACACATCAGATCATCAGAAGCCTATAAAAAATTCTTTAAATCCAATTCTATATGTAGTGAAAGATTCATTCAAACAAAACATTAAAGAGATCAAGTAAAGTAAAAAAAAAAGATAAAAGATTTAAAAGGTTTAATATATACATACATTGGCGTTTTGATTACCAACATGAACAGATATACCATCAACTCCTTGCACGCCTGAGGATTCAACACCTGTACTTTCTGTTTCAACAATTTTATCACGATCCAATACAAAAGCACGGCTATCTAGCACCGCATCATTAGTGATGTTGTAGGAAATTAATGCATACCTTAATTATATAAAAAAAATTGTAATGTTGAAATTCAAAGATCAATCTACGGCAGTTACTTTTTACTATATACGGAGACACAGATACTAATCTACCTTTCTCTTTGAAAATCAATTCAAACAATCAGTAGCCCCAATAGCAGTTAAACTAGATAAATGTTACATTGATCACAATCTTTTAATGAAATGTCCAATTTATGCAAATGCAGGAAAAGCTCTTTGATTTCACATAATACCATGTGATATTAACAGCGGCAATATTGCGCAGCATGTAAAAACAATAATTAAATGAAACTGTACAAAACTAAATAGACATTACCTACAACATTCATTCCCTTTCATCACTTGCCAAATCACTTTTCGGACAGAACTTGAAGGAACAGTATGTGGATGGATTAAAACTTTCCGCAGAATTGTATATTCATGCTTTCCCTGAGCACACTTCGCCTTATCTTTGTTGAAGAAAAACTTAGAAACCAATCCACGAGAACTCCAACCATCTTCAATTTTTATTCATTTGATTTCGCATAGGAATACAGATAACCTTAGCAAATCAACTTAGAACTAAGAAAAAAGAAAGAATTTTCAGAGCTAGAAATTTTATGCAAAAAATAACCTTTTTTTTCTCTCTCCCCCACTGTGTCATTAAAATGAGAGGTTATAAAAATGAATTTATAAATTCAAACTTGTAAATTAAAAATACAGAATCAAATGAAAAGTACAAAGAAGGATGGAGTATACCTAATCCATCATAAATGAGATCTGTAATGTCAAAAGTTGTTAAATCCACGATAAATGAGAAAGATGCTGAACGTCCTGTAAGTCGCACTATTGGTGGTCTATCGCATGCATTCATACCTAACCTGAAAAACTCAAAATTTTGAGTAGTTTAAAGTACAGTGAAATAGTATTCTTAATAGTTAAAACTTGAATTTAGAAAAGAAAAATGTTATTCAGAATCATAAATTCATCAGAAAATTGAAACGGTTAATTAAACAAGCAAAACACACAACAAATATATGCTAGGTGATACTTACGGTCCACTACGCATTAATATGGCAAGTGGGACATCAGCAATGGTATTGATAAATTTCGCACGGAACACGGGACCATCAGTCATTTCAGCAATGTTATTATCCTGTTCACTGAAAAAAAAAAAGAAAGCATGTACGCAAACTTTAAAAATGGAATTTTCATTAAAGACTTCTTTCTTTTTTTTTGCTTTTCTATCAGAAATAACAAAAACGAATAAATCAAAATTCTTAGAGAAGTAAAAAATAACATTATATGCTGCGTGATAGCTTCGTGGCTGATTATTTCTTTCGTCACGTTCTTAGGCATTGAACTTCTGAAGTGCATTCTTTCATTATATGGTAATCATGAAAAGTTTTTACGAAAATTCCCAAATCTAAACAGTTTTGGCATACGAAATACATCTATTGAAATAGATAAAAACGTTCAACTAACTAGTCTTCTTGTGATAGGGTATACATCAGTAATATGCCAATTTCCTAAGACACCAAAAAAAAAAAAACCTATCTCAATCAAAATCTTCTACCTATATAGTCTATCGGATGGCACCAGCTAATAAATTTGGGTTTAACAGGATTCTTTCATCTTGATATTATTTGACTAATACCATCTCACATCGTTAATACATCATTAAAATAGATTTTTCTATTTTTTAAATGATTTACTATTGCTTCGAACTTACTGCTCAGCATGATGTGGAGCAAAGCATGACTTCTTCTCGACGGATGACATATTTAACGTCCTGTAATCAGCTGGACCTGGAGAATAACGTCTCGGCGGTATAACCCTGAAACTTGTCAGTATAAATTCTAGATGTATGCAGCCATAAACATATACTGAAGCCTGACATTTAGATACATTTTCAGTACTTTTGGTGCACTGCTACCATTATGAAAAATTCTCTTTAAACCAAAAACAAATCTGTTAACTGAAACAGACAGCTTTTGAAAGCACAAATTTTTCTACTTCATTGTTTCTGATATTATTCTAAGCTAAAAAAAAAAAAAAAAATAGAGTTAATATTTGCCAACACCAAATTAACAAGCATTACATTATAAGTTTTCACAAATCCAAAAAAGATGGATTATGCGATCTTTTTATCTAACCTTCTTGTAATAGTTCCAGGAATTGAGTCGGTTCGCTCGTCACTATTGCGATTGTTGGTAATCAACCGGCGATTACTCCGTCGAATCGAATTTTCATGCTGTCGTCTTGCTGGATAAATTACCGGTTCCGAACGACTTGCAATAATATACTCATTCTCCTCTGCATCATCATATGAATTCACTACGACAAATTCTCCTTCATTTTCATTTTCTGTCGCTGTATATTGCGTCATCGATCCTAGCTTTACTGCAAAAAATTTCTTATACCTAGAATTCAAAACATTTCTTAAAATTTAAGTCTAAAAAATCTGAATTTTTCAATGAAATTATTTAACATATAAGAATCATTTGTTCTAGCGATTGTAAATTTCCAAAACTTTAATATGTTTGCTGACCATAACATACGCCTGTAACTTTTCGCAATGCATATATTATCTGTGAAACAAGTCTGCATTTTTCGGAATCTTTATTTATCCAAAATGAAAGATTTCCATGCAACCCGACGAGTTTTAAAGACTGAATGTTACAATTTTACAAATTCTAAAATCTAAATAACGATTACAAAACAGTTTGCAAAAATAGCTGATTGTGGTAAGGTAATTTATGAGTATTTTACCTAAACTTTATTAAACTTTAGAGCGAACTTGATTATTGCAGTTACAGGCTTATGTAAACGGCCAGCAAATGCTTCAAGTTCTACTCCAGCAATGCAACATTTCCAAATGGTACCATACGATGATGTGTTTGTAAAGTAAACTTATTTTTGCTAAATATTGCTGAAGAGCTTTAAAATGATGGAAAAGAATCTGCAGACACACTAAAAAATTTGTTATACAGAAAAATTTTAGGTTCTTAAAAAAAATGCACTGACATCAACACTAGTTTTATCACTTCACAGATTACACAGTAAAATGGAAAGTTGATATATTGGTATCAGCTGACAATAAACTAGATGTTAAAGAATCTCTAACGTGGGCACATAGCGTGACGACCACCATCAACTGGAATTGATGCTCCGGTGATAAATGATGATGCACTGCTCGCCAGAAATGCAATTGCATTTGCTACTTCATCTGGGTTACCCACGCGACCAAGCGCATGGGTACTTTCGGAATGCTTGATAAAAGCTTCATAAGCTGCTTCATCCATACCACTACGTCTGTGAAGATCTGTCTTCGTGACACCGGGACTAAAAGAAATTTAAATTCAAAATAACAAGAGAAATTCGTGCATGCTAGTTCCAGAATATCGCATAAACAAAACATAACTAGTAATAAAATAGGATTATTTACTTACTTGACTGAATTGACACGTACACCTTTTGGTGCTAATTCAAGCGCAATACACCGCGTAAACTGATCAACGCCAGCTTTTGATATGTTGTATGCCAAGACACCAGGAAACTAAAACAGGATAGCAATTAACGAAGCAATATATGGTATGAATAAATTTTAATTATAATAAAAATCCAAAATTAGGGAATTGTTTTTCATTTTTTTTTTTTTTTTTGATTTTCTAATACCCAATACAATTTTCTAACTCTGTGATATGAAAATCCTTTCAGAAAATTAACATAGCTTCAATTTTTTCCAGAATAGTAGAAGCCCATAAACAAAATGGATCATCATTCTAAGTTCAAGTACCGATGTTTAACGCTACGTTGAATGAAATACTAATACTAGTCTAGCAAAACATTTAGAAACTAGTCCTTCACTGATAAGTTATTAAGAAACGAACCGATCTTATCCCGTTAACACTGGATACATTTACAACAGAACCTTTAGATGCAATCAGTTGTGGAATGAGCTGTTGCGTCAAGTAAAACATTGAGCGTAAATTGGTCGACATTATTCGGTCATATTGCTCCAACGTTGTGTCTTCAATCGTACCTTTGCCAATAATACCAGCATTGTTGACCTAAAATCACAATCAAAATCTATCACACCCTATTTAAAATACAGTCCCCCTACAAAAAATAGAAATGAGCCGCAGAACCAGCAAAACATATACAGAAGACTTCCGAAAAAAAAAAATCCAACTTCAAAATCCTCAAATTAATATCCCTCTTCAAGATTCTAAAGAAATAAAATGTAGGTTTATGCAATTATACTTATCCTCCACCCCGCACTTTTCGCATGTAGCAACAGAAAAAACCCTCTCCATCTTCTTGAATTCTCAGTTCGAAGTCCTAATCAAATGAGAAACAATTTTTATTAGGAGAAAATAAAAACAGCATGATTTACTCCACAAATTTTATCACAAATCTTTTATTTAGCATACGTTATCTTTAATTTCAAAAATCATATCAAATTAGTCTAATCTGTAATAATCCATATTTTACAAAACATTACTGATCTAATTTATTTCGTTAAAATTTTTCTTTCCTATGGAGCTAATCAAAATATAAGATAATTACCAAGATATCCAGGGTGTGAAATTTATCGACAGTCGTTTTAGCGAGCCGCCGGATTTCTTCTTCCTTCGTAAGATCTGCAGTGATGGCCAAAACTTGACTCTACAACCGAACAATTAATCCCTGTGTAAAAAAAATAAAAAGAAGAAGGATCAAAAGAGGTCACCAATAAAATGATATTTCAAAGATTTTATGAAGATAATTACCAAGATATCGCACCGTCAGCTAGTTTGGAAGCTCAAGACTATCAAAAGTTTCGTAGTACATGGATTAATCAAGATGACTTGTAAATACACCCGTTATTTTAATTTTGAATGTGGTCCGTATAAGTAACACTCAGCTTATGAAGTTGAACGGTTGATAAATTCTTGATAATTCTTAACCTACTCTTAAAACTAATAGTAAACAACCTTTCCATCTTGCAACTGTTCTTCGAGCGTTTTCAACCGCTCTGTATTCCTTCCGGTCACAACAAGTGTTGCGCCGAGTTGGTGAAAAAGATGTGCTGTTGAATATCCAATACCAGATGTTGCTCCTTAATAAATTTTTGTAAAATCACTTAATCAAACTGAAAGTTCTGAAATCCCAAAAGGGAAAAATGGAAGTGTAGAAATGTTAAAACACTGTTCATAGAGATCTCTACCAATATTATCTTTATCTCTTTCCATCTTCAGATAACAATTGCAACAATACTTTGCGTTTGTTACATCCTTTTCAACTTTCGATCAGTTAGTAATCATTTATTGAAGCGAATTTAATTTTGCAGTTGTGATGAATTTACTGAGTGAAAATTTCAATCCAAAAAGAAATTTTTATAAAATTCTCTCTCAACCTGTTCTATTCTTCATCTTTTCTATGCTACAAAACATTCACGGAAATCTATGCTAAGTACATTATCTTCATCTCCTTTCGTCTTCAGTCCAAATTACCAAACATTAATCTCTGCTACAATTGTTGTGTCACTTGGTGATATTTATAATATACTTCTGATTATTTAAAAATAATTCCAACACTTTCCCACTACTTAACAACAGTCCTGATGACATTAATCACCACTGGTTAGAACTATTTTTGCAGCACCACTTTTTTTTTTAATTAATTTAATTAGCAAACTGATATACTTAATACATGATATATTATCTGCAAATAACTAATTATAGGACAGCATTATAAATTATACTAAATCCATCTCCAATACGTCATTAACACGGCTTAGAATATATTCATTACGTCAAATTTCACGTCCACCGTGTGCCGAACCTCATAACACGAACTTTGATCAAAAAAGTCGCAGACCAAAAAAAAAAATAATAAATTCACGAACTTTGAATTTATCGGTTGATAAAATTCAGTCCTCTTCTCTGTTCTCAAATACTGGACTTTACTGCATTTCCCGTTTATATTTTTACAGTGCTTGTCAATAACAACAATAGATTTAATCATATTTAACTGGGAATGATCTTCAATCTAACCATTCACAAAGATAATAGAAAATAAGCACAATCCTAATTTAGCTTCTTATTTTTCAAGTTAACTTACCCGTTATTAGAGCGACTTTTCCCGAAAGATTGATAACTGTTGTTGACATTTGTCCTGAATAAATTATTGAATTGTGTGTTAATCGATATGTATAATGAAGCTATATCGAATAAAGCTATCATTCTAATAGTTTCATTGTGGAGAATTGCATTAGAAGGAAAAAAAAAATAAAATAACCTTCGATTTTTTGATTATTGGGAAATATTTCTCAAATGTTTACTTCTAAATTACAAAATGTATTAATACCACTTTCAAAAGAGCTATCTGAAATGAAAATCCTGAACGTATGAACTGTCCGACCAACGGATCAGGCAACAATCGAACCTTACGTCCCGCTGAACGTAACACATACGCCGAAAATTATGACCGATAGGACGAACTTTCTATCTTTGCAGCACTCTATTTTTCGTCACTTTCAATAAGCATACGGTGTGTAGGGTTTTTAAATTGGTGAGCACGTGACGGTAGCGCGTTACGTGTTGCTGTACGTGCGTTGCGTAGCTTTGTGTGTGTAGCACTTGCATGTTAGATGCTATATGTACGTGGTACTTCATGTTATGTGGCATGTGACACTTGTTAGACTTCTACATATACGCTGCGTTGGATCTTGTTTTATGTATACGTATACCAATTGAATGAATGTGATTTACAACGACGTAAGAGAATGGTTCGCTATAATATTATTTAATACGTCATCAAATGCAGTCGCTAAATGATTAGGAGGACACGTAAAGTAATTCATTTATAAAAATCTACTGTTTATGTTCTAACTGAATGATACGGTTACGTGAAGAGTAGTACTTCGAAGATAATAGGACACATCGAAAGAAGAATGTATCATAATAACAATGAGTTATGTGCAGAAATGATCAGTGCGCAATAATAAATGGTCAGAGATTCATTTTTACGCCAGAATTACGCCGTAGTTACTTTTTAAAATAAACACGCCAGAATTACGCCGTAGTTACTTTTTAAAATAAACACGCCAGAATTACGCCGTAGTTACTTTTTAAAATAAACACGCCAGAATTACGCCGTAGTTACTTCTCAAAATAAACACAAAAGAATAAAGTAATAGGATGTACATTTCCAATAAATTTAAAATTATAATATTTTATTCGTATTATTTTGTAACTTCTACTCAAGTCATACGTTGTAAAAAAAGTATATAACATATGATAAGTAATAAGATTGATACTATACTTTTCCATCGTTTTTGATCCCCTGAAAATAATCTTTTCATATAACATTGAAAATAGATGGATGATGCAAAATTCGGATTAAGTATGAACTGTGATTATAAATTAGATTTAGACCAAATAATGAGCTTTGATATGCCAAATTTCAGATTATATATACATTAATTATAAATTGATTATTAATTAGGTAATCTATATCGTTAATTTATAATATAATCTTAATTATAGATGAAGTAAGAATAGCTTTTTTTGAAAAAGCAATCAGTTACCTTTTCCTTTACTAATCGATTCCGTTAATAGTTTCATATTCATAAGCTCAATTATAAATCCGTCATCTAAAAAAGTGCGTGCAGAATTTAACAAATTCAAAATTGCATTTGAATTTAGAATTTAAATGAAAAGAAGGAGATAAGACAAGGCGACAAGTTAATACTGAGAGAGTTAAGAAAATGAAAGAATATTACCTTCTTCATCAAAGGTTGTTATTTTAGATGAACGAGACTCTGAATAATACTCATCCTATAATATACAATTGTAATTAATAGAACTTTTAATCAAACATATTAGAGATTTATTCTTTTCACTTTTTTCATCAGATTAACATTTCATTTTTTTTTTAAAAAAAAAAAAAATTTGCTACTACAGTTTTACCGTTTTATACATACATAAAACTGAAAGAACATTAGGCTGCATGGAACATTCCATTGGTATAGCATATTTATTATTGCCAACTGAAAATTTTCATTTTTTTTTTCTTTTTCAAAAGCAATTAATTAAATTAAATTTGTTTTTCAGTATGGTTCTATTTTTATATTGATTTTTGCTTTAAGAAAGAAAAAAAAATGACTTGAAAGTTGAGATATAGCAAAAATAGATTTTTCAAATAGTTAAACTTAGGAAAATATGTGTCTATTTATTTTGAAACTGATTCTACAGATTTTAAAAATTTCTGAATTTTTTGGAGAAAAAAAGCAAAATATAATGATGTCGAAAAGTTTAAAAGATTTGAAGTTTTGGTTAAAATAAAATTTGCTGATATGAGTTGAAAATAGAAAATTTTAGCTAACATGGAATAGCTAAAAATCGATAGCATTGTGATCTGTTTAATTGAGGATTGAAATTAGGATCGATAAATTCAAAATTGAAATTTTGCGAGAAATCACTCCAACGATAGCCAGCTCCACGGAAATACCATAAACCAAATAAAACAAAATGATATCGATAAAACATTGGTTGGTCAATTTTAAGGTCATCTTCAAATGGACAAATAAATAAATATGAATAAGATAAATATATAAGGGAATTTTTAGAAATATTTTATTAATTTATTAATGAAATAATTAAAATTATCAAATATTAACTTTGAATTTCTTGCACAATAAATTGATATTCATTTTTATCTTGAAATATTGCTGGATACATTGCAATATGTTTTCGTTGTCGTTGAATAGCACACAATGTATCATCGATGGAATAAAGTTGCTCCTAAAAAAAGAAACAGAAATTAAAATTAAAAAAAAAAGAAAAAGAAAGATAAAAATAATTTCTTTTCATTTTTTCTCTTTCTTTTTTTGCTAAATTTTTAGTGAGATGAAATATTTTTGACAATATTTAAGTACAATTCATCATTTAATAATTTATTATTTGCATTTTTTTTTTTCAATTTTAGTTTTTCTTTCTTTTTTTTTTTTTATCAATTTTAGTTGTTCAAAGTTTTTTCTTTTTTAAAGTACCGTATGATTTGATATTTTATATACAATTGAAAAACAATAAATTTCACCATTTGCTCGTTTCCATTGATGATCACCAAGTGCACATCTTTTAGGATTGCCTAATTAATTTAATTTCAATTTAAATAATAACAATTTTTTTGTTTACATTAATATATGACAGAAAACTAGAAGAAATGAGTTAAATAATTTAGAAATGGAACGAATATATGAAAAAGAAATAATTTTAAAAGGAAAAATGGGCGCAAATTAATTTTATATTTTCTTAATTGATAATACATGGACAAAATATGTTTTTAATATTTGAATTATTAAATTAATTATTAGTCTGTTTTTAATATTTGAATTATTAAATTAATTATTAGTCTATTTGAAAAAAAAAGGAAAAATGGAGAAAATGTTGTTTACATATCAATCATTTTTGTAAAAATGTAAGAATAAATGAATATAAATTGTAAATTTATTATGATTTCAAGATTTCGTGACACTAATTTAGAAAGAAAATTTAGAAAGAGATAAGAATTGAAAATGAATGAATGAATTTTTAGTAGTTGAAATTAATTAAACTCACTTAGATCTTTATCCATTATGAATTGTGTATTTTTATTCCAGTTATATTCATATTTAGTAATTTTTCGTGGTAAATCCTTAAAATTGCTCATAAGTATGAACTTGAAATAATTTGTTATCAAAAAAAAAAACTGGAAAGAATATATATATATATAATGAAAAATTTTTTAATCTAATTTAAAATTAAACTTAAAAAGATTACAATTAAATAGCTAAATCCAATCAAATAGTGATAAATAGCAACTTTTTGATTGCACTCAAATGCCATAATTTTAACTAAAAATTATTTTATTAATTTTATTTGGCATAAATAATTTTTGATTCTTTGAGTGAATTGAATATTAAAAAAAATATTTAATTTAATGAACATTTCATCTATTTAAAGAAATATGAAATTGAAGGAAATTTAGAAAAAATAAGCAATTATTTTATCAGCATGATAAATAATTTTGATAACATATTAATAAGTATTTAATTATTAGTATTCCTTACTTTTCTATTGGCAATTTTATAAAAATAACTCTTACTGTTATTAATTACTTTATTGATTAACTTTGGTTTTTTCCTTCTTTTTTGTTGACGAAAATTAAAATATATATATTTGTGCCCTATTTTTTTGTTTTTAATACAGAATTTTTTTTTAAAAAAAAAAAAAGTAAAATTTTTTTTGGTTATATAAATTAAAGTTTTACTTACAATCATTGTCTTCAATAGCCCATGTCATGAAACGATAGCAATTAGACTTATTTAAACGTGGATTAAATGATGAATCATAAAATGAGCTAAAATCGGTTTTAGCTAAAGTACCATCATACCAAATCATTTTTCCACCGTACATTCCGGTTGAATCATTATTAACAAAACCATTTTGTCGTATGAAAAATAATCCAAATAATGCACCTAATAAACCTTCAGCATATTCCGGATATTCTGAAATATAAAATTTTAATAAAAAAAATTTCATTTTATTAATATCATTTAAAGAATATTCTATACATTCTGCATTGTTTGAAGTTTTTTTTTTTTTTAACTTTCAAATAATTTCAGTTTATTTTCAGTTTATTTTTATTTGATTTCAGGGTGGGCAAAAAAAAAAAAGTTGGCAAAACAGAAAAGCATTTTATGCTTAATAATTAATGATTATAATTATTTTAACTTCTTATTTTCTCTCTTTCATTTAAACTAATCAGAGCTGAAATTCAAATTCAACATTAAGATAAATTATTTAATTTATGTAAATTTAAGCAATTTTTAGACGACTTATAAACTGTAAAGTAATTTTTTTTTTTTTTAAACAATAATTTAATAGAATAAAATGTTTTTATTTTGAAATAACAATAAATTAAATTATTTTTTACAAATAACGTAGCATTATTTGCTCATGAAATATTCATTTTTTTTTAAAATGCTTATATGTAAATTTAAGTTTATCTGTTAAAAACTGTAATCATTATCAAGTAATTTCATTTAAATTATCAGTTAATATTTAACTTTCAATGAGCAACAAACACTTTCTCAGCTTCAGAAATTGATCTTAAATTATCAGTGAG